TTCACTGTTGATATGGAGCTTTTCCATCTTCTCTTTCCACACATGTAGTCAATTTGATTTCTATGTGTTTCATCTGGCGAGGTCCATGTGTATAGTCGTCTCTTATGCAGTCTAACGAAGGTATTTGAAATAAATAAATCATTTGTCTTGCAGAAATCTATCATTCGTTCTTCAGCATCATTCCTATCATCAAGTCCAAATTGTCCAACTATTGGAACCTCCTCTTTGCTCCCTACTTTTGCATTCCAGTCACCAATAATGAGCAATACATCTTGTTTGCAAGTTTGATCAATTTCAGACTGAAGAAGTTGGTAGAATTCTTCTATTTCATCTTCACTGGCTTTATAAGATGAAATAGATGCATATAAGAATTTTATTTTTCTTTGCCAATTTGGATGCCTTTGAATTCCATATCTTGCCTTATAGAAGACTCCCAACACTCTAATGAATAAGAGCAGTGATAAAGGCCATCCTGTCTGTTTGCAAAAATAATGCTTTCACTTTCTGTGAAACATGATGTTAGCTGTTGATTTTGAATATATTATATTCTTAATTATGTTGAGGAATGTCTCTTTATTTCCTACATTACTGAGTGTTTTTACCAAGAATGGGCATTGGATTTTTGTCAAATGCCTTTTCTGCGTCAATCGATATGATCATGTGGTTCTTTTCCTTTTCTTTATTTATATGATGGATTACATTGTCTGTTTTACTGATATTGAGCCATCCTTGAATCCTTAGTATGAATCCCATTTGGTCATAATGTATTTTTTTATATGTTATTAAATATTATTGGCTTGGACATTTTGAGGATTTTTGCATCTAGATTTATGAAGTGTATTGGTCTATACTTTTCTTTTTTAATAATGTCCTTCACTGTTTCTCGTATGCTGATTATGCTTGTTTTGTGAAATGTACTAGGACGTTTTCCATCCTTTTCTATATTTTCAAATAGTTTGAGTAGAACTGGTGTCAATTCTTCTCTGAATGTTTTGCAAAATTCACCAGTAAAGATTTCTGGTCCTGGAAATTTTGGGTTGAGAGCTATTTGTTGGCCTGATCAATTTCTTCCTTTGTTATAGGTTTGTTCAAGTTTTCTAATTCAGTCTGTTTAAGTTTAAGTAGGTCATGTTTTTCTAAAAATGTATCCATTTCCTCTAGATTTTCAAATTTGTTGGAGTAAAACTTTTCATAGTACTCTGATTTTATCCTTTTCATTTCCTTTGGTTTTG